TATATATATATATATATATATATATATATATATATATATATATATATATATATATATAATTAATGTGAAACTGAGCGCACGTGCACGAGCGCAAAACCCCTCCCTGCCTCATCCNCCGTATGAATATGCTAATGACTCTACTTTAGCAAAACAAAGTGAAAAAGCAAATGGCAAAAGCAAGCAAGAAGAGAAACTTTGAACAGAATGTGAATTGGAGGTGCTCTAATCGAAGGTAAACCAGAGAAAAAACGCTGTTATTTGCAAGTTTGTCCTCAAGAATTAATAAATAAAGAAAAAAATAGAGTGGGAGAGTATAGCTGACGTGGTTATCGCAGTTGGATCTGAATATCGCACTGTGAGCGAATTAAAAACGGTATGGTTCAATGTAAAGGTGTAAAATTTTGTAGCGTCTATAGCAGCGTGAGTGGTGAAGCTCGTAAAGCGCATGGCAACATGTCTTGACACGTTTAGCATGAGCTCTGTTCGAATCCAGCATCTGATGAACTGCTTTTTTTCCCCCACTACATATAAGATTTTGCCTACTCTTCATCACGAGTAAGACAAGTAGGAATCATTAATAAGTGTGTGTATTATGTTAAGCGCATTTGAGCATCACATTTATTGAATGGAAATGTTTCTGATTCACGTATGCATGCGTCTTCAGATGGCGTCTTTATAGCTATGTGCGTGCAGTCAATCGCTCCGATTACATTGGGAAAACAAATTGGGCGTTAATGTTTGGCTGGTCAACTGCATGGTATGGAAACCTTATATACCTGCTAGACATGCGGATGATCCCGTACCATACAGCTGCCATTGCACGGCTCAAAGATACTTTGTAGTGTGCAATTTAACATAATTGCCTCTAGGAGTCGCCAATGGAAATAAAACAAACACACACAAGAAATGCACGTGCGCCAGACATGAAGTTGGCGGGGACCAACGCACATTCTCAGGTTCATCATTAGTAAATCCAAACGTGAGCGTGAAATCTGGCGTACGCAAAGTTTGTTGATACATGAGCGTTGATACATGAGGCCCCAAGAGATTATGAAGATGTTTACAAGGGCCAGAGTTTTGAGAATGTTTCAGTTTCAGTCACCTGGCACTGCGCTTTTGTGAGAATAAGTGGTCAAAAAAAGCGAAAACGAAAATTTTCAAAATTTGATATTCAGTATGGACAAATGTTCGGGTGAACAGTGCCTGAGTTTCTTTCTTATGTAGAACACAAAAGAAGGTTTTTTGCTAAATAACCAAAGTAACCACTGACAGCTTTTTTTGTGTTCGACAGAAAAAAGAAACACACCCAAGGGTGATTAAATACATTTTGTGTGGTGAACTACGCCTTTAACATTTACCTTTGATTCTCAAGAATATTTTGGTTAACAAATTGTGCAAATCAGCATTAGAAAAAGCTTTAAATAAAGAGAAGCAAACTCACCTTCCACACATCTGCATCCGGCCTGCAGCACCCAGGCGTACATATCAACCCGAGACTGAGACATGAGCTGGTCTCCCATCAGATACGTGTTGTGGGAGGAAGCGATGAAGTAATCACTGAGGGGCTGCGTCATGTCTTGGTTCACCTCGTAATGTTCAGGGTTGAAGATGTCCCCCGCAGGGCTGCGCATGTAGTTTGTAAAACCTGCACAGTATACAGAAATTAGAGCTGATGATTACATAAATCACATTGGTTCAAAACAAAACCTTTTTTTTTCCTGTAAAAAATATTGTTTTAAGTATTTTGTGATTCATGTTTTTATTCATAATTTCAGCTCATTTATATGCTTTTGAATTGCCTTATGGGACTTTGATCTTTCCTCCATCGACTTTTAACCTTGAAAATAATTCTAAAAAGCGACTTTTATTGACATGTTTAATAGTTTAAAGTGAATTATTGCTACAAAAACCTTTTGATAAAATTACCAGTGCACTTTCTGTTATTTTACAAACGTATTTCTTTATATATTATTTCTTTATATATTATACGTATTGGTACATGATATTATTATTTTTAATATCAAAAATATCAACATCCCATAATGCAATTCACAACCGCAAATAAATGGAAAAGGCAAAAAATACAGGAACTGTTAAAGGTGCAGTAGGTGATGGTCTTTAGAAACATTTGTTGTTGTGCTGGTTGAAAGTGTCTTCACATTCCAATAGTAATGATTAAAGTAAATGATCTAAATGTTTTTATATGTATTTTTATATTTTGGGTAAGGCATAAAACTAAAAAATGTTCATCCAATTAAATAGAGTCGGGCCGACATCTCTCATAATTCCGATAAGCATACCTGTCAACATTGGGAAGGGAAAATAAGGGATATGCCCACCATAATAAGCCCGCTGGAATGGCATCATACCGCCACCGTAGCATTCGTTTTATAGACAAAATCCAGCCATACGTTCCTCTAGCTACATAATTTACGATGTCCAGAAATGTATATAGGGCTATGTTTTCAGAATAAGCCTGTGCTCTTGTTTAATATATAAAAAAATCAAAACAAAATTATACGCCAGCTTGCTGCGGAGCTTGATTAAAGTTGGTTTAAGTTGATTAAACTTAAATCAAGTCAAATGTAGTACTCGGGTTTAAAGTTGAGTCAACTTAAAAAAATGTGTGCAGCAAGTTACCCTTCACTCTTAAGCTGACTCCACTTTTTTTAGTCATTTGTGAAAATTGTTTCCTGACCATAAATGATTAAAAAAAAGGCACATACCATCAATCCCCAGCACACCCGATGTCTGGTTTTCAGGACAAGGTTCAAACTTGGCCACGATTTCAAGACAGTGCTCCTTAGAGACATTTGTCATCTGAAACAGAAACATACGGTTAAGATTAACAACCCAATAAACACCAACTAATCAGAAACGCATGCATTTAAAGCCATCTAAGCATATTTATATTCATACTGAATAGCAAATATATGATGAATACGACAACAGGGAGCCATCCTTACACAAGCAAGCCTATCTCCGCTCTATTTGTGATGCCTGACAGCTGGCGTTTAAATGGACTGATTAGTCAATGAGATTCCCATCCACGCCAATCAGTGTCAGATTTTTCCTCTGGTAATGCAGTAGAGGAACGGCACTTTACTGCCAGCTGTGGATTCCCCATCGCAGTAAACCAACCACCTTTGTTGTAGAGCATTCATTTAGTACAGTAGAATACTCTAGTACAGTACTATTTGCTTAAGATGCTAATATTATCATTTTGTGTAGTTTATGTTAGACTTGTTTTTTACTTTATTTCAGGTTGACCGCTGATAAAACACAAACACATATCGGGAAATTAAGTAAAAAAAAAAAATAATAATTATAATAATAATAATACATATATATACATACATACATATACATACATACATAAATACATACATATACATACATACATACATATATATACACACATGTCATGTAAACATGTTGTTTACATGAAGAAATCTGTGTTACAAGTTAAACAAAAATTCTATTAAACAATTATATTTAGAATTTTAATTCTAATAAACAATAATATTTTGAATTTAAATAGTTTTGTCTTGCGTTTAGATTAATTTTACATTTGAATAGCCAAAATTACAAGTTTCAGTATTTTAAATGCAATTAATCGCAATTAATTTTTTTTTAAAGGTGCGATTAATTAGTTAATTTTTTTAAATCTATTGACAGCACTAATATATATATATATATATATATATATATATATATATATATATATATATATATATATATACAGTATGTCCACGATTCTTCCTATTGTAGTCACGCAATGTGAAACCCCCTTTCGCCAATCCATCTTGCAGTGTAAACAAAGCAGCGACAAAACACTAGCCCATATAGTCATGCAGTGTGAAAACATATGCGACACGACTACTTTGAAAGTCATGCATTCTGAACTTGGCATACGAGTCAAATTTACATGTCAAATTTAATAAAACATTTAAGGGCTCATAGCAGAGGAATGCACTGTCTCTGACAGCTTGCAACATAATCTGGCATTTTCACTAAGTACCTTTACATGGATACCAATACTCCGATTTTAAGATGATTGAGTAATACTCTGGTTAAGAGTCTACCATGTAAACAGCAAATTTTTACAGAGGTTTTTTTCTTTCCATTCAGCTTGCGGTACCAAATCCCATAAAAACAACACTCTTCCAGCAGTCGTTACTTCATGTTCTCATCCAACAATTGTCATGATGCATGATCAGTCTGTTGCTGAATGAAAGTGAACTGCTGAACTGCAGTTAAAGTCAGAAAATAAAAACGAAACATCCGAAATTGCATGAAACTCTGGAGGAAACGCTAGCCTAGTGATGCGACATGTTTCATACTGACACTTTTCTTCTAAAAGTGCTTCCTTGGTCTTATCCATATTTCTTTGTATGTTGAACACACGTCAGGAATAAAAATAAAAATAAATTAATTTCCTACATTTTTTTTTAACGCGTGAAATATTTCATATTAATTTCGTGCATAACCGTGCTAATTTTGACAGCACTAGTTTACTCACTTTAATAAAATAAAGTCAACTACAGTCAACTAAACTTCCAATCTTTACAATCTTTCCAATATGTTGGGGGGAAAAAACATGTAAAAGTCGCATTGTGTTTTCATCAAGTTTATCAAATTATGAGTAACATCACAGATCTCACTAGTGTATTTGACCTCACCTTTTGTTCCGTCTCGAGGAAGCGCTTGAGGTCATCAGTGTCCAGGTGGTCTTTATGATTGCTGTAGGTGAGCATCAGCAGGTACAGATCACGCCGCGTTGACATCATCTTATAGAAAGAGCAGAACTCCTCAAATCCCAAAGTACCCTGGTTGTCATCAGTGTCTGCTTCCTAAAATTCAGAGATGGAGAAGTTTGCATTGAAAGGATTTGTGATTGGAAATATGTGCTTCAGCCTAAATGTTTGTGAAATCATGAAGTGTTAGCCCTCCTGAATTATTAGCCCCCCTGTATATTTCTATCCCCAATTTCTGTTTAGCAAAATATTTTTAACACATTTTTAAATATAATAGTTTTAATAACTTATTTCCAATCACCGATTTATTTTGTCTTTGCCATGATGACAGTGAATTATATTTGACTAGATATTTTTCAAGATTCTAGTATTCTTGATGAGTCATCGAAACTCGACAAACAGATCAGTTCGGTTATTGGCTTCAGTTTTTATCAACTACATTTGCTGTCTAAAGTTAAACACTTTTTAAGTCCCACCATTTAAGAGATGGCGGTCCATGCTTGTATTACATCACGGTTAGAATACTGCAATGCACTTTACTGTGGCATGTCAAAATCCCAAATTTCTCGGCTTCAGTTGGTCCAAAATGCTGCTGCTAGATTTATTTGTAATAGCAGAAAATATGACCACATTACTACTCTAAGAGGCCTTCACTGGCTGTCTGTCCAATTCAGAATTAATTTTAAAGTTCTTCTACTGGTATACAAATCCCTCCATAATCTAGCCCCATCCTACCTCTCATGCTGCGTTCACACCAGACACGGGGCGCACGTCAAGCGTGAGTGATTTACATGTTAAGTCAATGCAAACGCGCGAATAGACATCTTGCGGCGCGATACGTGGGAATGGCGCAGCGCGAATAAAGCGAATTGCGCGAATGGCGCGGCGCAAATTGAGCGTTTTGCGCTTTCGGGTGAATTGCTTGAGTTCGAAAGTCTGAACTTCAGCGGACATTCTCGCCGCGTTAACCAATCAGTAGCTTGCTCTTGTGGGGGCGTGATTGTGACGTACACCTGTTGTTGTTGGGCCTAAACATATAGACGCCGATGTTCACGCGGCTATTTACGCGTGAATAGCGCGATTTGTCTGCACGTTCCGCGTCTGGTGTGAACGCAGACTATTTTAATAGTCCTTTCTACTGCTACATTTTTACAGACGTTTCTCTTGCCTTATTTCTATGTTTTTATATTCTGTCTTTTTGTTTTTACCATGTCTAATGTACAGCAATTTGGTCAGTCTTGTGACTGCTTTATACATAAATGAACTTGAACTTGAACTATTCAGCTTAAAGTGACATTTAAGGGCTAAACTAGGTTAAACACTGTAAGTTAATTGGGCTAGTTATAATAATTTTTTTTTTAGTTATTTAGTAATTTTTTCGAAACTTTGTTAAATCAAGTCCTCTTTTTTGCTTGCTCAAGCTGCTTGAACCACAGATAAAAAAAGTTAAAACATCATTATTACTAATCATTAATTAATTCATTCATTTATTTTCATTTTCTTTTCGGCTCAGTCCCTTTGTTAGTTTGCAGTTGCCACAGCGGAATAAACCACCAACTTATCCAGCATATGTTTAACGCAGCCCTTCCAGCCGCAACCCATCTCTGGGAAACATCCATACACACTAATACACTACGGACAACTTAGCCTACTCAATTCACCTGTACCACATGTTCTTGGACTTGTGGGGGAAACCAGAGCACCAGGAGGAAACCCACACGAACGCGAGGAGAACATGCAAACTCCACACAGATACGCCAACTGACCCAGCCGAGGCTCGAACCAGTGACCTCCTTCTGTGAGGTAAACGTGCTATCGACTGCACCGCTGTGCACCCCTATATTAATCAATATATCAATAATATAATGAAAGTAATTTTTATTATAATATCAATTTAAAGATATGCTTATTTTGTATGTTATAGACAATATTTATTTTACTTCAACAAAAATATCACATAAATATGTTCACTTATAATGTTCACTTATAAATATGTTCATATTATAAGACAATGAAAGTATTTTTGACCTTGCACAAATATCAGTCTTAGGGGTGTCATTAAAAATCAAAATCGATCGAAATTTATGCTCAATTTCGATTATCGAATCAAAAAATAGAAACGTCGATGCTGCCACGCCCCCATGTCACGTCAGCTTGGCTTGCCAAGTGGGAAAAAAACAGGCTTGTTGAAGTGCTTGTTAAACTGCAGAAGCAGGAGACCCGTCGACAGAACTTAAACCCTCTCTTCTTTCAATGAAGTCGCCGGTGTTATGTTGACAGCGTTCGTGTTGTCGACGAAAAAAAAACAATTCAATTCAATTCAATTCAGCTTTATTTGTATAGCGCTTTTACAATGTAGATTGTGTCAAAGCAGCTTCACATAAATGGTCATAGTAATTGGAACAGTGTGGTTCAGGTTTTAGTGTTTAAGTTCAGTTCAGTTCAGTTTAGCTCTGTTCAGTGTGATTTAATCACAGTTTTGCAAGCTCTGCTATGTACGTATTACGTACGGTTCGTCCGATAGACAACACCGGCATCGCGATCCTCAGCCCGCCCCCATTGCAAATCCGCTCGCGAAAAGTACACACTCAGGCCCTGTTTACACTGTCTTCATTTTTAAAAGGCATTTTAGAACGACAACGATTTGACATCCACAGTGGCGTGTAGCATTTCTGAGCAGCCCTCCTTCCTCTCTACCTCTTAAAATGCACATCACGTGACCACACAGACACAGATGCACTCACAGCCATGCGCTCGAGACAGCAGGTGTGTGTATCTTGCCTTTATTCATTTACTGTATGATTTGTTTATGGGTAAAACAAAGACCATGCAGGTCAGGTAGTTTAAACGGTAGGCTACAAATAATGAATTGGTCATTAATTAATTAATTATTCATAATTGAAAATCGAATCGAGGATTTGGAGGATCGTGACACCCTTAATCAGTCTGTTGTTGGAGACCCCCAAAACCAAAATATGACCTTTTTAAATGCATAATAGGGGATCTTTAACTGTAAAGTTGTATCTGCACTGTAAAAAATTAATGTTGGAACAACAACAGAACACAAGCTGTTTGAATTCACTTCATCACTTCCTTTGTGAAAATGTAAATCTCGGTCTCTTAAAAAAAGCACAATTAAAGCTAGATTTGCTTCTTTAAACCCGACTGATGGTTGGCCATGATGTAGGATCAACCCGCAGCTCTTCAATCAGCTCATTCACCAGCAGCAAGACCCACCACCACAATTACACCCCTGCCACGCTGAGAAAACCACCGAAAAACAGCAGCGCCTCCACATCTCCAGCCGCTCTCAGCTCATAAGTGTTTTCTCAGCTCATTGAATCCCAGGCTCAGGCGCCGGCGCTGATCCGTATAGAGCTGCTGAGTCAAACGCACACATAAAAGTCTTGAGGAGAGCAGAGCCGAGGCGTGGAGGATGTAATAAACTCCTGAGCTGAGCGCCCGGAGAATCACCGCTTTATGGAGAGAAGCGTGAAAACAGGTCACAAACACTGAAGATGCTGACGGAGAGCCTCTTTCATACACGGAGAGCATCGTTTGCGTATACTGGAATGAGGGATCTCAGTTATAGGACGTAATATAATATGAAATTAAAATGGAAACATATGTTAAATATTTGGGTGGCACGGTGGCTCAGTGGTTAGCACTGTCGCCTCACAGCAAGAAGGTCGCTGGTTTGAGACCTAGATTGGTTAGTTGGCGTTTCTGTGTGGAGTTTGCATGTTCTCCCCTATTGGCATAGGTTTCCTTCGGGTGCTCCAGTGTCGCCCACAGTCCAAAGTCATGCACTATAGGTGGATTGGGTAATTGTAATTGTAGTGTGTGTGTGTGTGTGTGTGTGTGAAAGCAAAAGTGGCATCCGCTGCATAAAACATATGCTGCATAAGTTGGTGGTTCACTTCGCTGTGGCGACCATGAATAAATAAAGGAACTAAGTCAGAGGAAACTATATGAATGAATGTTAAACATTGAATGTATAAAAATGTTTATAGAATAAGCGCACTGACAACTATACGATTATTATTTTGTCTGTGGTTGTTAGGTCAGTGTCAGAAAGCTTGTCCTGGTCTAGAAATATAAAATAAAATAAAATAAAAATATAAAATAAAAAAAATAATAAAATAAAATAACATTTAAATGTTTTTGAAAGACAGAATGTTAATAAAAGAAAAAAAAAAAAGATTAATTTTAAAACATAATTTATTCCATGAAAACCATACCTGCAAAATACTGTTGGTATATTGATTCCACTAGTTTTAATTAATTTGGTGTTAATTATTTAATTAAATTTATTTGGAGCCAAGATAACTAAATATTATTGTCTAAATAACTTAAATATAATTTATTTATTTGTTTGTTTGTTAGTTTGTTTAATTTGACATCAGCCATATGACATTATATAACATTAAATTGCACATAAACGAAATAAATAAAAATAAAACAAAAATTAAATGATATATAATAAACAAAATAAGTTAATGAATAAAAAAGTTACAACATAAAATACCATTTTAAATGTTTTTGAAAGAACAAACATTTTTTTTTCAAAATTTTTTTTATTGTTATTAAACAAGTTTTAATTAGTTTTAGTTTAAATAATGAATAAAATTAATTCGGTGCCAAGAAAAATATTATTGTTATGGCTGAAAACAGTATCTGCAAGTTTTTGCTTTATAATATTAATATTAATAATAATAATAATAATAATAATAATAATAATAATATTTTATTATTTTTTAGGTGTGATATTTTTTAGGATGCATATACTCCTGCCACATTACATGACATTACGTCATACATAAATTAAATAAATAAATAAATAAATAAATAAATAAATAAATAAAAATGCAATTTATTTCATTAATGGCAAATTTTCAGTAATGATTACAGCAGTTTTAGTTTATTTGGTGTTAATCAATTATTTAAATTGATTTGGTGCTGAGATAACTAAATATTATTGTCACTGCTGAAAACAGTACTTCCAATTATTATTATTATTATTATTATTATTATTATTATTATTATTATTATTATTATTATTATCATTTTTAAGTGTGATATTTTTTCAGATGCTTTTGCCCCAGCCATATGACATTATATGTCATTAAATTGCACATAAAAAATCAAATAAAATTTTTATAAATAAAATTAAATATCTACAAAGAATTTTAATATAATTTAATTATTATTTAATTCAAAAATGTTAATTATTTCATTAATTTTTTATTTTCAGTAGTGATTACACTAGTTTTTTTTAATATTTTGCTTCTAAATGACTTATTTAATAAATTGAATTAATTTGGTGCGTAAATACAAAAATATTATTGTCACGTTTAAAAACAAACAAACAAACAAACAAACAAACAAACAAACAAACAAACAAACAAGCAATCAAGCAAATTAACTAGCTAACTAACTTGTTTCTTTATTTATAATGGGTCGCCACAGTGGAATAAACAGCTAACTTATACATTAAATGTTTTGTATACAGTAAACTGCGAATGCCCTTCCAGCTGCAACCCAATACTGCGAAACACTCTCATTCACAAACGTACACTATGGCCAATTTAGCTTATTCAGTTCACCTATAGTTCATATCTTTGCACTGTGGGGGAATCTGGACCTCAGATTAACAAAAGGACTGAGCCGAAAATAAAAAGAATGATATTATTTTTTTTTATCTATTATTAATTGTTTAATTATTGAAAATAAAATTTATAAAATAAATAAAAAATCCCAGCACACAGTAATACCTGAGAATCCCACAGGTAGTTCACGAGTTTAAGCCAAAGAAATCGGGGCCAAAGGCTTCAGGTGTAAAACACACTAGCATCCCGCTCTGTTGTTGGATAGCAGGGCCAAATTGCCCCCCTGTGGTTCGCTGTGTCTTACACCAAAGGCCATCTGTGTCCATTTACAGCAGATGGGCTGATGGACGCTGATGAAGTGTGAAGCTTAGCGACCTACAAACAGCTGAGGTGAAGTCTCAAGCACATACTCATACAGCCATCCAGACGGCCGGGGAAATGCTTCAGAGCGCAGAGTGACACACACACACACACATTATGTATACACACACACTTAAGACCATGGTTTAGAATGTTTAAGCACACTGCGATCAGAGTGCGAATTATAGATTGACTATCTAGGTGCACTCTATTAAGGATGGTTGGCTGCTTGTTTAAACTACTTATTTCAACACAATTCTGGAGATTTTTTTTTGAAAACCCAACAGCTTTAGGTTCAATTTACTGTAATGTGTTTAATTAACAACGTGAATGTGAAGGCGACGCAGTGGCGCAGTGGGTAGTACGTTTGCCTTACAGCAAGATTCACTGGGTCGCTGGTTCGATCCTCGGCTCAGTTGGCATTTCTGTGTGGAGTTTGCATGTTCTCCCTGCGTTCGTGTGGGTTTCCTCCGGGTGCTCCGGTTTCCCTCACAGTCCAAAGACATGCGGTACAGGTGAATTTTGTAGGCTAAATTGTCCGTAGTGTATGAGTGTGTGTGTGGATATTTCCCAGAGATGGGTTGCGGCTGGAAGGGCATCCGCTGCGTAAAAACTTGCTGGATAAGTTGGTGGTTTATTCCGCTGTGGCGACACCGGATTAATAAAGGGACTAAGCCGACAAGAAAATGAATGAATGAATTAACAACGTGAATGTTTTTTTTTTTTTTTACAATGTACTTATTTAAAATGAGCTGAAACAACACAATTATTTAGACTTTTTTGGGACAACTTTATTTTTTATGTTTAGTCAGCCTAAATGTGTTAAATTAACTTAACGGATTTGTGTTGGCACATTTTTTTTACAGTGTACTCATTTAAAATGAGCTGAAACAACACAAATCTTTAGATTTTTTGGGACAACTTAATTGCTTATGTTTAGTCCACTTAAATTTGTAAGGTTAACGTATAATGGATTTGTGTTGGGACAACATGAATGCAATTTTTACAGTGTAGTTATTTAAATCGAGCTGACACAACACAATTATTTTGACTTTTTTAGGACTACTTAATTTTTCATGTTCAGTCCACTTAAATGTGTTAAATTAACAAGGTGAATGTATTTTTTTTACAATGTACTTATTTAAAATGAGCTGAAACAACACAATTATTTAGACTTTTTTGGGACAACTTAAGTGCTTTTGTTTAGTCCACTTAAATTTGTAAGGTTAACGTAATGGATTTGTGTTGGGACAACAAGAATGCAATTTTTACAGTGTAATTATTAAAAACGAGCTGACACAACACAATAATTTTGACTTTTTTAGGACTACTTAATTTTTCATGCTCAGTCCACTTAAATGTGTTAAATTAACAAGGTGAATGTATTTTTTTTTTTACAATGTACTTATTAAAAATGAGCTGAAACAACACAATTATTTAGACTTTTTTGGGACAACTTAATTTTTTATGTTAAGTCAACCTAAATGTGTTAAGTTAACTTAACGGATTTGTGTTGGGACAACATGAAGTTTTTTTTACAGTGTACTCATTTAAAATGAGCTGAAACAACACAAATCTTTAGATTTTTTGAGACAACTTAATTGCTTATGTTTAGTCCACTTAAATTTGTAAGGTTAACGAAATGGATTTGTGTTGGGACAACAAGAATGCAATTTTTACAGTGTAGTTATTTAAATCGAGCTGACACAACACAATTATTTTGACTTTTTTAGGACTACTTAATTTTTCATGTTCAGTCCACTTAAATGCGTTTAGTTACCTTAATTGATTTAATGAATCCTTGCATTTACATTTTTAGTTAATGTCAAGTTAAGTGGTTGTAAACAACTAAATTGGGTTGAATGTAAAGAAAGTTGAACATTACTAAATTGAATTTGTTTGTTTAAATTTAACACATAAATTATTTGCAACAACTTTGCAGACATTTTTTTCAGTGTTCAGACCACCTACATGTGTTCGGTTAACTTAATGGATTTGTGTTGGGACAATATGAAAGCATTTTTTACAGTGAGTTATACAAAAATAACTAAAACAACACAATTCTTGAGACTTTTTGGGACAACTTAATTGTTTGTGTTCAGTCTACTTAAATTTGTTAACTTCATGAATGTGTTAGGAAAACATGAAGGCTTTTTTATAGTGTACTTATTAAAAATACGCTAAAACAACACAACTATTTCGACTTTTTTGGGACAACTCAATTTTTTCACATGGTCAGCATGACCATGCATTTTGTCAAAGGAGAAAAAATAAAAATAAAACTTATAATCTCAGTACAAGCATGCATTGCAAAATTGATTTTACGTAAGTTGTAGATTTTTTTAAGATTCTAGTTTTTAGCTTAAAGTGCAATTTAAAGGTTTAACTAAGTCAATTAGGCAAATCATTGTATATTGATGGTTTGTTCTGTAATCAATCTAAAAAATGTATTGCTTAAGGGGGCTAATAATATTGACCATAAAACGGTTTTGAAACTGCTTTTATTCTAGCTGAAATAAAACAAATAAGACTTTCTCCAGAAGAAAAAATATTATAGGAAATACAGTGAAAATTTTCTCGCTCTGTTAAACATCAAGCGGGAAATATTTGAAAAAGAAAAAAAAAATTCACAGGAGGGCTAATAATTGTGACTTCATGTTAGCTGATCATAAAACTAGCTTGGTGGTCAGCTTACCTTAAACATCTGCTTGACCTTCTGCCTGGGCAGGTTGACGTTGAGCTTGTGCAGGAGCTGGAGGACTTCACTGATGCTGAGGCAGCCGTCTCCATTCTTATCAGCCTCTGCAAACGTCTGCTTCAGCCACGTGATGACAAGAGTTAAGGCTCAGTGAGCAACACAGAATAACACAGTAAATCCACTCTTGTTTTCTGCTGTGAAGTACACAGGAAATATACAGTTGAAGTCAGAATTATTAGGCCCCCCCTGTTTATTTTTTTCCCCCATTTCTGTTTAACAAAGAGAAGATTTCTTCAACACATTTACAATCATGATAGTTTTACTAACTCATCCCTAATAACTGATTTATTTTATCTTAGCCATGATGACAGTACATAATATTTTACTAGGTATTTTTCAAGACACTTCCATACAGCTTAAAGTGACATTTAAAGGCTTAACTAGGGTAATTAGGTTAACTAGGCAGGTTAGGGTAGTTATTGTATAACGATGGTTTGATCTGTAGACTATCTAAAAAAATGAGCTTAAAGGGGCTAATAATTTTGACCTTAAAATGCTGTTTAAAAAATTTAAAAATGCTTTTATTCCAACCGAAATAAAACAAACAAGACTTTCTCCAGAAGAAAAAATATTATCAGACACACTGTGAAAATTTCCTTGCCCTGTTAAACACCATTTGGGAAATATAATAAAAATCAAAGGGGGGCTAATAATTCTGACTTCAACTGTACAATGTTTATTTTGCTGTGCACATTGTCAGTCTTAAAGGAAACCTATCATGCGACTTAATCTAAGATAGAAAATAAGTCTCTGACGTCCCTAGAGTGTGTATGTGAAGTTTCAGCTCAAAATACCACCCAAATAATGTTTTATAACTCTGTAAAACTGCCCACTGCCAGAAGCTTTGATCTTAATTGTCCCATTTTGGTGACTGTCGCTTTAAATTCAAATGAGATTGTGCACTTTTCAAAAGAGGGCGGAGCTATGTGTCAGCATAGTGGCTAATAAGACTAACACCATCCTATGCTAATGAGGGAGAGATCACCACTAGTGGGCGGGGCTTTCTTCCATTGATGACACGTACACAGGAGAATGTCAATCCGAGTGTTTCTGCAGACTGTTTTTATCAATGTGATCATTAAAAATGAAATCAATTATCTTTTTTATCATTAGAAGATGGCTATATTCACACAATGCTGCCGCACCCTTGTGTTTAAACCCCGTGCAAAAGTGATATTTGCATAATAGGTCCCCTTCAAGATGCCTCTTTCTCATATATTCTGATTTTAAGTATGGTGGATAACACATTTTCATTTTTAAAATAGGAGTTCCATTAGGAAGGATATTGGTCACGAGTGCGTTGTCGTTTAGCCAGACTGTCTTCATCGCTGATGCCGGCCATAAGGTACTTAAGGCCAGTAATCCAGGTGCGAGCCTCTTCTCCTGTGCCAGACACCAGGTCAAGTGACTCCATGTGCTCGCCATAGTAGATGCTGAAGCAGCAGTTGGGATCAAAGCTACCGTCTGAATACCGCTGGAAGATCTCAGACTGCTTCCCCTCACAAACCTCCCGAATGGAGTCGATCGAGACTGGAGGTAAAAAAAGAGAGAGAAAAGGCAAGGGAAGTTTATTTATTTAGCACATTTCATGCACAAAGGTTATTCAAAGTGCTTTACATAAACAGGAATAAAAGAGACAAAAATAAGAAAATAAAAATAACAATAAACATTTTAATTAAAAACAGATTATATGTGTTAAAACAGATTTTAAAGGAATTAAAAAGAAAAAGAAATTGTGCAATCTGTGAGACGTAGCACAGTGCTCATTCAGTAAAGGCACAGCTAAACAGATGTCAGCGAATCAAGGGGCGATCATAGGATTTTTATTTTAGATTCAGGTGTCCGGAATCTGCGGACGTTTTTTGCTATTTCTGCAGAGAATTTTGGTAAAAATCTGCGGATTTCTGCGGAATTATTTTGGGAGTATCCAGCGGAGTATCATAACTAAAACCTTAATATATGAAATAAAAAGTAATAAATTACTAAATAAAAACTGAATAAATTCAGATTTACAAATAAACAGAATTAATGATGGGCTAAAAATCTGCAGAAAAACTGCGGAAAATCTGCGCGCAGAGATTCCGTGTGGGCCTAAGTAAAGCTAATGCTACATGCACGGTAATGTGTTTTATATTGGTAGTTCATTTTGAAATAAAAATAGCTAAATGTTGGTTAATACGCTGTGATTATTAGGTGAACATCGATGAAAACAATAGACAGATTGCTGTATCTATAGCAAAGAACAGCAAATGAGCAGATATTATCACAATTCATCGATTACCACACACCTTGTTCTCTCGCTCGGCTTGCTGATTAAATGAAAAACGTGGCGCAGTAGGTGGTGCTGTCCCCTCACACCAAGAAGGTCGCTGATTCCAGCCGCGGCTGGGTCAGTTGGCGATTCCGTGTGGAGTTTGCACGTTCTCCCCACATTCGCACGGGTTTTCTACAGGTGCTCACGGTTTCCCTCACAGTCAGGAAAGACGTGGTACAGGTGAATTAGGTAGGCTAAATTGTCTGTAGTGTATGAGTGTGAACGACTGTGTATGGATGTTTCTCAGAGATGGGTTGGGCATCCGCTGCGTAAAACATTTGTGGATAAGTTGGCGGTTCATTCCGCTGTGGCGACTCTTGATTAATAAAGGGTGTAAGCTAAAAAGAGAATGAATGACAAAAGTTTTACAGGAGGATGAGTAGAAATATAGGGCTACACCCCCCCAAAATAGGCCTAGCAACGCCCATGTTGGAGCACATCTGATCATTTCCGGTAGCTGATTCCAGAATAGCTAGAAGGCAGGGATTCACCCTGCTTTGACTGAACTGGAAAAAACAGAAACAAACATTATGTCCTGAGAAGTTTTAAGAAAGGGATGGCATTTGGGCTGTAATCCTGAGGTGCTCATTAACATTCTGCTTTCCTTCAAGCTGCAAAAATCTCAACGAAAAGATCATCCTAATGCTACGAATGTGTGTAATGAAGTCTCTTAAGATCAGATTATGCAAATCAGAAGAGCAGATGGCTACCTCAAATTAAACACTCTCCGCCGCCAATGTAGAGCGTCTAGAAACACTTAATTTATCAATTTGTGTTCATTTAAAGCGGACCCTGTCTGCCAAGAGTGGCCACATCTCAACAGCAGGCTGTTCCAGCACATTCCATCAGCCAAAACAAAGCAATAGGACAACTACTGGAGTGACATCTGATTAAGCATATGCCTGTTGTTTAACGCTGTGTTACAAATCTAACACCATATTACAGCCTTATTTTTCTCTATACATTATATTATTTAGGTTAATAAGGTGGCGAAGCAGTGGCGCCTCCGGGTGCTCCGGTTTCCCCCACAGTCCAAAGACATGCTGCAGGTGAAATGGGTAGCCTAAATTGTCCGTAGTGTATGAGGGTGACAGGCCCAGGTGACAGACCAGCCGGAATGTGTAAAAAAAAAAATCGTTATCATTTGGACAAGTCTAAATGGAGGACTTGCTTTAAAAAGCCGATCCCGCAACCATGGGACCAAGGGACTAAGGCCAAAGAAGAAGAAGAAGAAGAATAGAAGGTTAATATAGTCCCTTTGTTCAACTGAAGAGTTGAATTTGAACAACAAAAGTCAACAGAGCAGAGATAAGCATCCCATAATGCAATTCAAAACCGTAAATAAACAAAAAACACTTATTAAACAGGAATTTTTACAGCATACATCAGTGGTGGCCAACCCTGTTCCTGGAGAGCCACCTTCCTGCAGATTTCAGTTGCTACCCATATCAAACACACCTGAACCAATTAATTAGGACCTGAACACCACATGATAATTACAGGCAGGTGTGTTTGACATGGGTTGCAACTGAAATCTGCAGGAAGGTGGCTCTCCAGGAACAGGGTTGGCCACCTCTGGCATACATGTATGATAGTAAATAGATACAACTGTGTCAAAAGCATAAAAATGCATCTGCATGTGTTTTCAAGTTGAAGATCTCCTCTAAATTATGCAGATTGAGGTGGTAGCAAACCAAATATGGTCTCATTTTTGTTTGCTCTCAGCATATTTAATGCCATTTGGAGTCTTTCTGGCCTCAACTCTTTTTTTTTTTTAAACAAATCAACCGGCGCATGTGTGTGCTCAATGAGGCATCCAAAATCTTTACGGGTTAATTCTGATGAATAATTGAGTCAACTTAAGAAGCTGATTAATTCCCTAGCCTGCGGTGGAATGTCGGGACTCGGAACTTTATCCCCCCACCCCTCGCGAGACACAATGAGCGCTGTCATTTAGACATGAATCATAAGCGGCGCTACTGAAGTAACGTTTCCCTGTGAGGCGTAATGCCAATAACTCAGGACACCCTCAGGAAATTGGAAAGGCAAGAGAGGCAGGTCAAAATGCAGAGGATCATTTATTGCAGTCTTATTTACGACAGAGCAATCGAAACACATTTGTAATAGGAAGTCGTATTTTTTGTAAAGCTCCTTGTTAGAAAGAAAAATGAATCGGAAGCATCGGCTTTTCAGTTTTTTATTTTAAAACCGTCTTGCTGTGAGGCGACAGTCCTAAACACTGAGCCACTATGCCGCCCCATTATAATAATGTCAAACTTAACAGTTTCTAATGTTTACCCCCTTTCATTCATTCATTCATTTTCTTGTTGGCTTAGACCCGTTATTAATCCGGGGTCGCCACAGCGGAATGAACCGCCATTCGGATGCCCTTCCAGTCGCAACCCATCTCTGGGAAACATCCACACACACTCATTCACACACACACTCATACACAACGGACAATTTAGCCTACCCAATTCACCTGTACCGTATGTCTTTGGACTTTGGGGGAAACCGGAGCACCCAAAGGAAACCCCTGCGAACGCAAGGAGAACATGCAAACTCCACACAGAAACGGCAACTAAGCAAAGGCTCGAACCAGCAACCCAGCGACCTTCTTGCTGTGAGGCGACAGCACTACTTACTGCGCCACTGTGTCACCTGTTTACCCCCTTTCTTTTTCTTTTATAATAATAAAGATTCTTTACACAGCCAAAATAGGGTGGCCTTGAAGCATCTAGGATGCTGTACCACATTAAATCATCAGCGTAAATGCACATTTTTACAATTTCATGCCACTTTTGATTTGGTTTCTGTGCCGCCTTTGCTGTGTAAAGATGTTTATAGTGTGTTAATGCCATATATGCTGCTTTTCACAATGACAGAAACAAAGTATTTGGTAAAGATTCCAAAGTGGTTCATAGACCAGCCAAGCTACAAGCTCCAAACAACACAGTGGTCTTTTGTGACTAAATGTAGTCCAGGTTTGATTCAATGATTCAATAATTCAGTCACTTTCATCCTCTCTGAATAAATCGGCTGTTTTAAAAGAATCAGTTCAACATACACTTCTGTAAATCGTTCATTAAAACCACCACATTTGGTTAAATTTCCAAAGTGAAAAGAGTGGAGTTTGCATGTTCTCCCTGTGTTGGTGTGGGTTTCCTCCAGGTGCTCAGGTTTCCCCCACAGTGCAAAGACAGCTATATCTCAGCTACTCCTAGCCTGTTCACAAAGCAGGGGAATTCTCGAGACTGACCTGAGCTCAAACTCCCCTCTCGCCCTTTAAACAGGAAGGAGCCCTGGGCTACAGGATATTCTGAGCTCAGGGCTTTCTCCCGGGACAGCATGCCAAATATGCCTTATTATCAATCATCAGCTAAGTGTGAACTCTTGAAAACAACTAATCGAATGTTTACGTTTATTTAACTGAATGTGTTTTAATTACATTACCAGGTCGATGATGTAAACGGAATCTTATAAAATTGAAATAAATCTTTTACTGGAATTTACTATTGGCTGAAAAACACTTGGGGTTTTGTTTTAACACTTGGGGTTTTGGTCTAAGTACAAAGTCTAAAGCATTAAGGGCATGTCAGAATCCACTTTTGCTATTTTAAGGACGGAAAATAAGCTCTGCGCCACAGTGCATGGTCTAACAGGGTTGAGCTTATTCTCTTAATGAGTTATGGGTGTTTTGAGCATAAACCAATCCCATTTGCTTTAAGAAAAACTGAACGATTCACTAGGGATAAAACAGATAAACTACTTTATTTTGTCTTGTCTATGGGTATTAGAAAAATAAGTCCTGCTAGTCAATCAAATCGCACATAGAAGGTAAATCGCATCATAATGAACTACCTCAAGACATAATTGCATAACTGCTACCTCATAATTGCAGTAAACTGTTCGGAAGTATTGGAAGTGAGGACCAAAATGGCCAAAAGTGGACGTTACCACTGTTGACATTTATCAGATGTTGGATTTTGATTGTCATACCTGATGAATAAATGTCAGTATTTGACATCAATAAGACGTTGGTTTAAGATGTTGAGTCGACGTTGGATTTTGGTCACTTTCTAACAACCTAAAGTCAACCAAATATCAATGTCATTTGACATCATTATTGGAAATCAAAATAACGTTGTCCTTAGACGCTGACTAGATGTTGAATTTTGGTCACCTGACGTCACAACCTAAATCTAACCTAATATTAAAGTCTTATGATCTTGTGTGCCTGCTGGGCAATACCTAATGCACTACAGAATGTTACGTTTACACACCCCCACAAATTCCTACTCACTACTCTTGAGTACTTTTGAAATGTCTACTTATTACTCATAATTTGAGTAATATTTACAATTGATACTTTTACTACTTACACTACATTTTTAGTCAAGTAATGGCACTTTTACTTGACTATGAGTTTTCAGTACTCTTTACACCACTGACTATAACATAGATTTTATTTATTTATTTTTTTTAAATAGAAATGGATCATGTTTATAAGAAAAAAATAATTCTGCATAAATTTACAAAGTTAGGATATCAGACCTGACCATCAATCTTCAATCTTCACTTCAAACACAAAAGGGATTTTAGGCTTGACTCTAACTTTATGGTAGGTAACGGACTTGATTGTGACTTGCTCACAAATCTGAAATGAGGCAGTGCGTAACAGAAATTTTGCAAGCAAGTTTTTGTTAAAAGGTGAAGCAGCCCACTACTGAATCTGACACAAGTGTCAGGAGTTTTTAGTTCAAAAAGTCATTAACTGTCTAAATGAAAACCAAGAGACATAACAAAACAATAAATAAATCATGACCGCTTAAAATCCTCTCAGACTTTGTTCAGATTTAATTCTGCACTCAACATTTATATTTGTCAGAGCTGATTCTTGATAGGATAGTTCACCAATGAATAATAAAAAAACTCACAATTTACTCACCCTAAAGTATTTTCAAAACTTTTTATATTGAACACAGGAGAAAATATTTTGCAGAAAGCTGAAAACCTGCAACCATTGACTTCCCTAGTAGGAAAAACAAAGTCAATGAATCCCATTTTCAAGCTTTCTTCAAAATATCGTCTTTTGTTCAGCAGAAGAAAGAAACTCAGACAGCTTTGAAACAAGTGAAGGATGAGTAAACAATAACAGGATATTCAGTTTTGGATTCCTTTAATGAGATATGACAACACGCTAGACAAGGTTGACACTTGCAACATAAATGACAACAAATTCTCTTTATCCATGAGTAGTAGCATCTAAGATTTGAGACTTTCACTGTGGCCACTGACAGAAATAAAGCACAGTACACTGAGGGATTGAGGCTTAACCTTAGCGATACGAATTAGACTTACTTTTGGCTTTCTCATTCTTCCTAGACGGTCGCCAGCGGATACAGGACTTGTGTTCATCCAAGTAGAAAAAGCGCACCAGGCCTTTGGATCCTCCACGGAGTTTTACCATCTGAGTGCCCGTCTGCATTGAACTCATGCATTTTTCCACTATGAAAAAAAACAGAGACAAAAGAAGCAGGGATTATTTAAGGCAAGTCTATTGTAGAATATCAGCATATCAACAATTACTACACTGTAAAACCCAGTAAATGAAGAGAACTCAAACCAACTGAGTACTGTAAAACCCAATAAGTTAAGGCAACTCAATCCATTTGAGGAATCCTCAACAGTAGCTTTGAAGAGTACTGTGAACTGGCTCCATTTAAGTTGAAGTAATGAGGTATTTTTAACTCATTACCTTTAACACCGAGTTCAAAACTCCTTTCAAATGCGTAGAATTAACTTTCAGTCAATTTTGAGTTAACTACACTCATTTCATTTGATAAAGTTGACTGTTCGGCTTTACAGTGTATGAATGCCTTCTTAAAAAACATGAGCTCTAATTTAATGATCTAAGCGCAAAGTCTAAAGCGCAGGGCGCAAATGCATCAAAGGTGTGCTCGAGTACATTTTTGCTATTTTAAGGACTGAAAAATACTATTTGCACCCTGGCGCATGGTTTTACAGGGTTGTGCTTATTCTCTTAATGAATCATAAGTGTGTTTTGAGCATAACTTGCATAAAACCAATCAGAGTCTCATCTCCCATTCCCTTTAATAGTCAGTTGCATCACGCCATGGCGCATTTGCTATTTAAATAGTGGACTTTGTAAGTGGAAAAACTGAACACTTCACTAATGAAAAAACTGTTAAACAGAGCATCTGCAATGCGAGGATAAAGAATGAGCCTCCTCCATTCGGCCCCCTTACTTTGTCTTTAATTTTATACTTTACTCCTTTACTTTCGTGGATAAGGAAACGGTGGAAACTCGCTCAACTGAAGACATCCATTAGCCTACATATTTAATTTAGTTTGTTAAGCGCAAAGATTTGTTTCAAAACATTTTTCTAAATTCAGTTCTAATTTCCAGAATAAATAAACAAATAATTCCAATGAGTAAATCCAAACATTTAGACGTCTCCAAAACCCGACAGGTGGAACTAAATCTAAACTTGTTTTTATTAAAACAAATATAAATATGCATAAAATAAATAATACTGATAATAATATTAACATTATTCAAATGCAAATTGTCATAAATAAGCTGAAAAAAGCCTGGCAGTAATGTTTTTCAGAAAAAAATCATATTCAAAAAGTTTTAATCCTTTTTTTTTTTTTATTTGTAAAGATTTGTGTGTTGCTGTACGTCCTGTGTGTATTAAGCAATGTGTAATTTGGACCTGCACAGGCGTATAACTAATGTGCCCTGCGTTGGACTTCAGTTCAGCTTTCTGTTGGTCAATGACGCAGTCTATTTCAGTTCCTCAAAATACCAGTGAGCCAACAATGCCCCTCAACACACCTTCATTTGAGACCGACACACCCATGAGTTCACAAAGCGGAGCAAATGAATTAGCTATTTATACAACGTGGCGCAAAACGTTCAAATTAGGGTTGCACTAGTCTGAAAATAGCAACAAATTGCACCAAACAAGTCTTGTGCCTATTGCACCACGTGTATGATAGGGCCCTGTATTTTGAAATGATAGTGACAATCTAGTCACTCAAACAGGCATCAATGCATATTTTGTTTAGTTTTGATATTCAAACCACACAAAAAAAGACATTTGCTGTTTGTTAACAACTTAATTGTTTTATATTCAATCTATTTAAATTTGTAAAAACTAATAAATTAACTTAATTCCTTCATGTTGTCCCAGCACAAATCCATTGAGTAGTATTTTTTGTTGCAGTGTATTCAGAAAATCTTGAATCTAAAAGTTAGAAAAAATAAAAATATAGAAAATTACCTTTATAATTGTCTTAATGAAGTGCAATGCACGTTACTAATTTTAAAAATGTTTTGATAAATTTACTTAATATTGTAACGATTTTTGCTATAAAATAAAAATAGAACATTTTCTTGCCATTTGCCACTGTAAAATAATGTAGGGTTCCAATACCATTGGGTTCCACACAATTCAGTCATATTATCCCAACACAAATTGTTTAAATCAACTTAATAGTTTTCACAAATTTAAGTGGATTGAAAAGAAAACAATTCGGTTCTCCTCCAAAATAATCTTAAAGATTGTGTTGTTTCAACTGATTTTAAATAAGTAGTTTAAACAAACAGCTATGTCATTTTTTGAGTGCATACACTTTAAAATGTAATTAGTTATTCAAAGGGGGTAAACCCATTGTCTTAAAAGCAACAAGTTCAATATAAAAATGATGTAAGTAAACCCATTGTAACTTAAAACTATTACGCTGACATAATTTTTATAATTATGCTTATTGTAGTCACTTTTCTTAAGTCAACTAATTCTTTTTTACAGTGTCAGACTAGCAAGTTTGTTTTCAAATAATTATTGTAAATATTACAATATTACTCATTTGTGGCTTCATTAAGTCTATAAAATCTATTAAAGCCTGTATTGAATTGAGAAGACACATTAGAGTCTGGAAGAGCAGATATATTTTAGTTACTGCACTCAATATATATATATATATATATATATTTTTTTTTTTTTTTTTTTGCTTGTTCAAAAAAAGTTCAATCCACATAAATGTGATAAAAGTGTTGAGTTAACTTAATCGATTTGTGTTGGGAGTGGGACAACATGAATATATTATGTGGAGCCCTGCATTTTTTACAGTGTCATTTCGCTAGAACTTAAGTCAACCTAAGAGTTCAATTGGTTACAATTGGTTTACTTACTTTATTTTTGTAAAGTCAACTCTTTTTCTTTTAAGACAATTGGTTTACTCGCTTTAAATAACTAATCACTTTTAACAGTGTAAATAAGACTGGATTTGTGGTCCAGACTCACATATAAGCTTTAAATATGCAGTAGATGGCTGGATATTGCTCACATTTCCCCCCTCAAAATATAAATAAAGCATGTTAATGCTCTACAATTTCTTTAGTGTGAAAAAAAAAAAAGAAAAATTCAGGCCAGATCCAACTTTCACTGTGAAGGAAAAGATATTTTTATCCTTTCAGTGGGCTGAGGTTAAGTTGTTTGCTTCGCAGAACAATATTGGTAAACCCCACTCAATCATACAGTATATTTTTCAGAGTTTTCTGTGTACATGTGTTTTACCCAGAGGACTATCCATCAAAATATCTGACAAGTGGTAAGCAATCATTATTGCGACCTTTATGAACCTGATCGAAATCCAATATGTTTCATTTTCCAGCGTTCCCTTGCTTTCACAGCGCAACTATTGTTTGGTAAGATTGAGTGTTTCTCTGTTCGTACTGTACTTGTCAAAGCAAACGCTTGTTGGAAGCAATGATGGATTGGAAATAACTGGCGTATTCTCTCTCTTAACGTTCCTCCAAATGGTTCATTCTGAAATTGACACGTGGTGGTGAAATATTGAACTTGTCTGGGATAATGCTGTAGAAAATTGGCCATGAAAATAGAATTACTTGAAATTATCAAGCAATCGACAGCAGAAACATTTCTAATTGACTCTTCTGCTAATCAAAAGCTGTACAATTTTGATTACTATACAACATTGCTTTGGTACATGCCCTGAAACATAATATACGGAAGATAAATTCGAGAACATCTAATAAACACTTACTATATTCAGATATAATGTAATCACCATTAAAAATTTGAAGGCACTTTTATCATGGCATTCCACAATTATTAGTTTTTCTTACACAAAACACTGGGTTATTAAACCGCAAACTGGGTTAATAAGGACAAATCCAAACATTCCGACAAATTTGGTCCTACAGTATAAGTTTATTTCAAAATTAACCCAGCATTTGGTTTAGTTTGTATTACAACCAGAGTTAGGTTAAAATAACCTTATTTTTTAGCTTGTAATCACAGTGATAAAAAAAGAAAACTGCAATACCAGTAGAATGAAAAAAGATAACTAAATGAAATTTCACTAATTTAAAAATTAGTAAGTAAAATTTCTGAAAGTTACAGCAGGCAAAAAGGAATATGGAGAGGTCCTTGATTTCTGTGACAAGCATATCTGTAGTCAAGTGACATCACTAGTCTCTTGATTAGTTTCTTAGCCTCCAGAACTTTGCCTCCAAATATTATTAAGAGATATTCAATCAGGTTTATATCAGTACTCTTGACTGCCATTTCATTATTTAAAGAGACTTGAATAAGTGAATGATATTATACAAATGTTATTAATATTTATTTTTCAAATTTACAACTTTAAAACGGTTGGAAGGGCATCCACTGCGTAAACACGTGCTGGATAAGTTGGCGGTTCATTCCGCTGACCCCGGATTAATAAAGGGATTAAGCCGAAAAGAAAATGAATGAACGAACGTTAAAATGGGTCACCTTCCTGAAAAATTAGTAAAAACTGGAATGTTCCACTACCAGTTAATTCAGGTTTGACAGAAAGTTAAAGAGACAGTTCAGCAAAAACTTAAAGTGCTGTCACCGTTAACTCATCATTCACCCATTGTCACAAACTTGTTTGAATTTTCTTCTTTTGTTAAACACAAAGGAAAATATTTAGAAAAAATGCTAAAAACCTGTAACCGTTGACTTCCAGTGATTAATATTAATTCACTGACAGTAGTCTCTCAGCCATAACTTTGTCACCAAGGATTTTCAGTAAGGTCTACAAATTTAATTCATTCTAGAAACTTTTTTAAATGGATCACCTTCTTGAAAAATCAGTCATTAAAAACAGAGGTTTAAAAAAATCTATTTTTGGGGTGAACTGTGACTTTAAATATATTACCACCAAATGGCATATTAAATAACTGGAAGGTATTCTTTAATTAGTTCACTGAGAAATTAGTTCACCGACTGTAGTTTCTTACCCATAACTTTGCCCCCAAGTGTTTTTAAGAGATGTTCAATAAGGTTTAGTTCAGGACTCAGGGCTGCAATTTTATTATTTCAAGGGACTTGAATTATTGAATGATATTCTACAAATGTTATTATTATTATTATTATTATTATTATTATTATTTTAATTTACAAACTAGGAAACAACTTATTTTGTGT